CAACGCATGTGAGATCCAAAACACTTTTGTAAATGCTGTGGGACTAAGTCGTGACCGTCCGTGGTCCACCGTGCCCGAGCCTATATCCGATCGCCTTGGTATTGTAACGCCATCTGAGCAGGATGCTTTTGTGTAGAGGGTGCCGTAAATGTGGCACAATTCTGCCGCACATGCGAAATGCACTGCCACTGTACCCTGATCATGGGTCACGCTGTAGACGTCGCCTGCGACAGCCGAACGGTTTTGTCGTTTCGACCGGTAAGATAGGCGGCCTACGCTGATTTTGGGACCAAAACAATGGTCAGATTGGTTCATGCCATGTGTTTGACAGGGTACATTGAGTTTATGTGGGCCTCTAACTTGGCACTTCTACTTGGTAGGGCTGTGGTCATGACCGATGTTACTGCGAACGCTATCTTCTAACGCTTGACGAATAGCGGCAGTGGATATGGACATCTTGTAACATTCTCTTCTGCAACCAGCGAGACTGAATACCGAAGGTCCGGTGCCCGACTACAGCAGCGCGAGGTGCGTCCAGTCGACTTGACTCAAACGGACCATAGATGTATGATAGAAGAGAGTAAGTGGGGTCTATCCACCACTATTCCCAGGGATCTTACCAAGGCGAGTTAGTAGTCGTGGCTTGCAAAATTTCCGACTAACAAGATAGCTTGGTCGCTCTTGGTACCAAGGATCGGGCTGCAGCGTCTTCTTCTCAAGTCGGCCTTTATGGCACTCACACACGCGCAGTCCAAGTCCCCTCGAATGAGGCCCGATACATGCTTTCTTGGGTGTCAAGTTGTGTTTGGAAGACGCAGAGGGCTTGTTAGATTGTGTCAGCCACTAGGCGCACACACAGTTGTCGAGTCGTAGCGCAGGTGTTATATACTATCGAGATAGGCGTTTAACTTATAATAATAAACTACTTTTACTTTTTCAGTAGCCCGGCTTTTTTCCTTTTCGTTAAATTCTGCCGATGTAAAGTTGAATTTCCATCAATAGGCATCAGATGCCTGAGCAACCGGACTTTATGTTGACTGAGTTGATTATATTTAGTCCATTTAAACAATCATAAGTGGCTTTAATCTAATAGTATTTGATCGCTTTCAACTCAGTTATATATTCATTTACAACTAGGAATTAAATGTTTAATCACCAATTCCGTAAGACAGTTGGGCGGGGGAAATACATATCTAGGCGGCCCTAGAAGACATTTTTGCCACTAGCGAAATTCATACTCCAGTCGATATTGCGCCCTCTCGGGAACTGGAATAGTCTATCCATCACCTAATTGTGGTATTTGTCGCCAGATGTCCGAGCGTGTTGTTGTGGGAAGCTAATCAGGTCGGTGTGCACCTACTATTCTGTGAACAGTATGCGAAGGTCGCCGATAGATGCAATCGATAAGCAATGAAGTTTATCGGTCTTAAGTTTCGGATCGTCGTTCGAGCGCATCCTCAGAGAGGGTCGCTGACAGGGTCTAGATGACTAGCCCACTTTGCATGAGCGTTCGTCTACGTGAGATACCTCGGACTTTATAGTGTCTTTGGTGTTATTGTCTCTACGGTTACCAGATCGCTTGTCTCCTGCAACTGCTCCAGTATTTGATTAACATCAAGGTAAGCCTTCTTCCTTCTCGTCTGCAGTCCTGCCCTCACAGATTTGCATACTTTACTGGTTGTCGGACCATTTTTATTAAAGTCGAATTTTAAACTTCATTTCAGGGCTTCCAATGGGGAACGCGTGAAGGTCCTCTCTGCGACGAGCCTATCAGAAATGTCAAATTCAAGATTCTGGACTCCCTGATCGCCCCCGAAGCCCACCAACGTGGCTCCGGACAGATTATCCCCACGGCTCGTCGGGTGGCTTATTCTGCATTTCTCATGGCTACACCGCGGTTGATGGAACCCTATTATTATGTGGAAGTGCAGGCACCAGCAGACTGTGTGCCCGCCGTGTATACTGTTGTCACTCGTCGTCGGTTAGTCCTCCTTTTTTATTGTCCGCAGCAGATTTCAACCGGTTGGTTGTCTCTTGAGCTTCATCAGTTGACTCGGGGGGAGGCACATGCTAGCAACTGTAGTAAGAACTGTTTACTGTCGGATAGGAGTTGCGTCCACCAATTTGTTCCGCTTGCATAACGCAATACGTGGGATAGGATCTGTCTTATTATACCTACACCAGCTGTCCCGCTCAGGCCAGTGTGCCGAAAGACACTTCTATGCGACAGTGCTCCAAGCCCTGGCGGAGGTGGTGAAACGATCGTATGCTGTCACTGGCTCTGTACAGGCCTGCTGACTGACTAGCCTTCCTGTTT